CGACAGGCGACGGGCCATATATAAAATAGTAAGACAGAAATGTGCATAAATTGTCTGTGGTATTACTTAACTTAACGCTTGAGTGCCTTCAACAGGTTGTGTCTGTGTGCCTCTCCCATCTCCCGTTGAACATGTCATAAACTGTTTTCTTTCGCAGCTACTTGAAAATATTAGAAGCAAATATGATATGTATAGAGTATTTTATATACATACATATGTACATACTCGTATACTATATTCATAGATAGACAAGCGATTGCGTCATGCTAGAGACGATTATATACGATACATATTATATGTACCAAAATCTAGAGGCGTTTATTTGTTTAGTTTGTATGTTTATTTTTGTCATTAATACCATTCACTAAAACCCAAGAGATAAGGAATGAAAATAAATGATGGAGCACCTAAAAAAAACCAAAAAAGAAATCAAATTTATTTATTTTACAAAGCAGCAAAGTGGGGGGAAAAAAAATCTATCAAAGAAGCGCGCTACCACAAAAACTTCAAAAGACTCTTCTGCCCACAATCGTAGCTGAAAAAAAATTATAGAAGTAGGAGGGAAGCCGAAATTTGGAAATTTCTACGCCACATGCCACCAACATCTGTTAGAATTCGCTACAAGACGATTTACAGCGTAAGATCTGCCAGGTTTGGAGGAGGAACTGACAGAAATCGCACAACTAAAAGAATCAGAGAATTATCTGCCGGAATCCACTCATTAAAAAATAACTAGTAGCCCCTGCGCTCTACTAAAAGTTACTCAGAAAAAAAAAACTCTGAGCTCGGCTACAAGAAGATGTGTAGGAGGACCAGCTACCGAATGATTTGAATGATTTTCTCTATTGAAATATACAAGAGATGATCTGCTACAATTCGTACCAGAAATTTACTACTGAAAGATACAGAGAATGGAGAACCAGAACACCCACATCAGAACATAAATTTTATATGGGTTAAGAGCATACTTTTGTTTATAAAAGAGAAATTTGCAGTGTATACTTGAACTTTGGTTTTCAATAAACTTGTTTTGGTTATTTATTTACAAATCTCAGCTCCGATTTCAATGGCACCTATGGAGGGGCCCCAACTACTCGCTGACCACATTTTAGGCATCAATTAGATGCCGCTAAACTACATTGAACAATAAATAATATTGAGACTGACATACAACGACAATAGCAGCAGAATGACAGCCAGCAATGGAGCTGCTTCAATAAATAATTCAACGATGATCTCAGTTGTACGGCTGCTGCTGATTGTTCTGGGATTGTTCCGTTTCGTTTTTATTGTGTGTGTGTGTAGATTAAAGTCTGACAGACAGACGGACTGACGGATTCGACACATAGATCACATCAGATAACGTTAGATGGGTTTTGTTTGTTGTTGTTTTTTTTTAAATAGGAGTATACCCTAGAGCAGAAGATATTTCCATTTATTTGTAACAAATAGAAGGAACGATACATATAAAATGTATACCATATATCTTTACAAAAAGGAATGCCACGAAAAATTATTGGTTAATTACCCTGTAATAAATCATTTTAAATTTCATGAAATCAGAATACTTCCCCATGTTTTTCAAAGAAAAAGAGTGTTGTCTGCAAGAGTATTTCAACTTTCGTCTCTACATGTAACGCTAGAATTTCTCGTTTCCCTTTCCCTTTTGTTTTAAAATATATTGTTAATTTTCATTGAGCTAAGCATTGAATTTCTCTGTCATTGTCTATCTCTCTCTCTCTCTCCGATGAGCCACATAAATCATATTCATAGTCAAATTTGTTTGGTTTGGAAATGTGGCTTTTGATGAACCTTCAATATGTGGATACGTGTGCATACCGCAAGCAATCGATATCTTAAATATTCAAAAGAGTCGAAAGGTTTTATTTGTTGTGTTTTTGCAAAACCATTAAAATGACATTAAGTATATAATTGTTTGGAAAGTGGGACAGAAGCCCCGTGTATCGCAAAACAAAGTCAAAAACTAACCCAATCAATAGTTCACTATACTAGACACAAATGGGGACTCTGCCCAGCCATCAATTAGTGAACGACGCTTGCTTGACGTCCATTTATACATTTTATTAGAAATTTATAAAGTGATGTGTGTATGTCAAGAGCTTTTCACGATACTCAATCACTGGGTGAGAACACACATTTAGGGCACATTTCGTTGCTTTCTCAAACAAAGTCATACGAGTATATCCAAGTCGACAAGTCGTTTTCGGGCAACACGCCACATCAAAATGTTTGACAGGAACTTCCTTACCATGGTTGAATCTTCTGGCAAAAGAAATCGAGCAATCTAATACTAAAACTCACGCAAACGTTTATTCATGCTTGATAATTGTCACATAGAAATGTCTAACGATTTATGATATTATCAAGTTGTGGTAAAGAATACCATGGAAAAAAAGGAAGAGGAACCCATATTTTTTGAGTACATTAGATATACGATGGTCTCAAAATTAGATAATATAATATAACTCCATCTGTTGTATATAATACGTATGTACATTGTACATGCATACAACGGGCACAGCAATAGAATAGGAAAACGAAAAGAATAACGGACAGCTAAATAGTGGAATCAGTGTAAATTAGAGAAGTTCAGATTAATTCTTAAACATAACATGCATACATATGTATGTAGATTCTTGAACTTCAACTGCTTCAAGTTTTCCATTAAAAACCCAATAATCATCTTGAACTTGAATTCTTATTCGTATGTACATATGTGCATATTATTCACCTGTTCATTTTAATCTACAAAACGTTTGGAAAGCCCCAAAAAAGTGCAAAACATATAGAGATAAATTATTACCACGATAATCATATACATATGTGTGTACAATGTGCATATATATTTGATAGATAATGCAAACAGACAAGTGAATGTCAGGGCGTATCTATAGACACAAATGATACATAGAGATAGCTAGATAGATATGTACTAGTATGTACATCATCGCCAAGTGCAGCCAAAAATTGCGGTGGTCATTGAAAGGATCGGCGCCACAGAACAGATACATATATACGTATATATATTTATATAGAAAGAGAGCAAAAAGAGAGAGAAGAGAAAGGGGGACAGACAGCCAACCTGCCTGCCTGCTTGCCTGCCTCTGCCCGACACTTAATTGGTTGTTGTGCTTAACATAATAACAGTCGAGTAGAGGAGGTCACATAATAGACCCACCTTAGTCGGGTTGTTTCCCCTCTGTGGATCTTTTGGGGGGGTAGTTTGATGGGCCGAGTGCTTCGAGTGCTTTTTTGGCTGCCAATAAATTTTGTTGGTTGGCAAGAAAGAGGTAGCGCTGCTTGCCAACAGTCGAATACATAACAAACGCACTGTGTGTGTGCGAGAGTGCGAGAGTCGAGTATATAAATAATACTCAAATACTCGTATAACTCGCTAAATAGAAGTTCAGGGCACGGCGCAACCAATCGAGCGACCAACCGACCGACTGACTTATAACAAAACAAGCAAAACAGCAAACAGCAGCAGACGAACGTCTAAACAAGTTGGAAGTTTGAATTGCGTCGACGACAAATGTCGTCAGTCGGCAGGCCAGTGGATGGATGTGATGATGTCATTTTGGCAGTTTATTTTATCGATTGTTTGTCTGTAATAATTAATTAAGTCTACATCTCTCTACCCCTGTGTCGCTCTCGCTCTCTGTCAGAGTGTAACCACAAAGTACCGCCGATCTGACCTTGACATTCTATTGGTCTTGGCATCTGGCTATAACTTACAACGGTCTCGAATGCCTATATCGATTCCCAAGGAAGTCGCGAAAAATAGTATCTGATTATTGCAATTTAAGGTTATCTTAAAAGACTAACACTATCTTTCTATCTATCTTTCCTGTTCCATTAGCAAAACATTCGGCAGCACATGATGCGAGTGATATTGAATAGGTGTAGAAATTTCCCATAAGGAATGAAACGAACATAGAGCACAACTAGCCTCCAACGAAAGATATTAATTGGTTGGACAAATTACCCGTAAGCGAAAGTGAGAATTCGCTAGGAATGACACGAACAGAGATCGCCACGATAAAAGCCACAGAAAATGTTTCTAATTTGTTTAAAATTTGTTTAAAATTGCATGCGTTATTTGGTGGGGAAATTCTTTATATTATAGTGTAAAGTAGGACTGTAGTAATACATTTTTAATTTAATTTAATTGTAATTTCAATCCCTCATCAATAGCATAGTTCCTAAAAATAAATCTTGCAAGAATTTGGCACTAAAAATATGAGAAGTTTTCGGTAAAAATGAATGGAAATGAGGACAAGCGGTATTTGGTATGGGGACAACAGAGAATGGTGTCCAAATTGATTTGCAAAAATGGCCATTAAAACTAATTAAGATTTAGCAGAATTTTGGTCGGGAAAGACCTTAAAAGAAGCGTAAACAAATAAGGGGGGCACCTTCAAATATGGTCAAGACTCTAGCTCGGACTTATTCTAGTAAAAAACAACAGATACGTTGGTTTAAAAATGATTTCTAAGGTGTTTTTTTTATACCCATGAAAGAATGATTCAAATTCTGCAGTATAGAATCTAAGACATCTAAGGTATACAAAATGGTAAATATGAACAACAAATTTACACATACTCAAATATAAAGGCAGCACAAACTGAATACTAAATTGATCATAAAAGAATTCAACAATCACAAGTGTAGAGTTTCATCAGTGTTATTTGCCATAAGAACTTAGAAAATGGCATACACAGAGAATATGGTATACAGAAAAAGCAGCTTTAAAAACTATAGATGGATTATTTTAGGAAATTGAGTACTCTGGAGAACTTTGAATACACAATTAACAATTTAAGGAGCTGCTAAATGTAACGTTGTCTATATCAATTCATCCTTACAAAAGATTTTGTATGGTTAAAATTAACCAAAAATAAACAATCCAACAAACTGGGTGCTTGATTCTACCCATTATTCTTCCATTAATGGATTTATCTGTAAAATAAGAAGTTTACCTCGTTTCTCCTTGATATGACAATCGTACTGGGAATTGCTACGTGCGAAATTGATCGACGCCATAGTGGATTGGAATTCCTGGTATTCGTTTTCGTTGCTGCTGCTCCCACGGCTGCCACTTTGCTGTACTTGAGTCTGATAGTCCTGACGCAGACTCTTGCTGAAAGTGCCAATGCCGCTGAGAGCGTGGGCGTGGGCTGCTGTCGTGTTGTGCGGAGTAGTGCTGGGCGTTGATGGGGTCACTGAGCGCGAGGGTGTGGACACAATCACAATGCTGCTGGCGGGTCTGCCCTCGGTATCGGAATCGTTATCGATGATATCGCCGGCGTTCGATAAGTTATCGCGACTAAGACGTATTTGCGAGGCCGTAAACGAGATATTCCCAACAGACGGCGACGGCGAATCTTCGATTAATTTGCGCGACGTGGACGTGGATAAGGAGGAGGAGGTCGAGGATTTCGATTTCGTAGTGCTGCTGGTGGTGGTTATCGTTTTGTGGCTTACAATTTTCCGTTGCTCTTCCGCTGAAGAACCACGCAATTGGCACGTTGCAGCTGGACTGATTGGTTCCTGCGGTTGCTCCTTCGTGCCAATCGGCGTGGATGTTACTAGCATTGTCTTCTTCTTTGTTCCTCCTGTTTCGAGGGCCAGTTCCCTGGGACGTTGCTGTTGCTGTTGCTGTTTCTGTTGTTGTGGCGGTGCCGCCACGTTGCCACCCACCTGGACAGTTGTTTGTTGGTACAAACGCCTGCGGGGGTTGCTGCTACCAACGGTAATGTCAATGTTGCCCGTTGCCATGGTCACGTCCTGGCTGCCACCAAAGTGGTGCTGACGATTCACAGCACTTGAATCTGTCTCGTCGATTAGTTCGGTCCCAGCTCCTGCTGCTCCCCGTTCGAGTTCGGTTTCATTCTCCAGCTTAATCAGTATCCTTCTACCGCCGGCGGTCAAGTCAACGCTACGCGGTGGCGTCACACTGGACCTCTCACTGCCGGAGTAACTGGAATGCGAACGCGACCACGAGGGTGAGTCACGCGGAGAGACATATCCCTCGCCATGACGATAGATTTTCTCCTCGGCATAGCCCCCATCGCTGGTCATCGAGGAGGTAATGATGGTCCTTACCCCATCTGCAGCGGGCACCTCTCTCACCATTCGCTCGCCGTCGAGAAAGCGTTCCAGTTCCACCTTCTTTGAGTGCCGTCGCGTGTTGGTCGTACGCAGCGTCACATTAAAGGGCGATAGCTGCTCCTCAACATTCCCCTGATCGGCGCCGGGACTCATCCGACTGGTAGTCCTCAAGGTCACATTAAACGGGCTGGCTGTCTGCTCGCTGGTCACCTCAACGCGACGTGGCTGCGACGACAGCGGTGGGGGGGTTGTGTGGCGCAGCTGGACCTGCTGGAAGGCTAGCTTGGCTGCCTCCGCCTCGGCCAGACCGCGTTGTCGCTCCAAACGCAACCGTCGCTCAATCTCATGGACATCGATGTCAAAGGGATTCTCCTGGTCATCATCCTGGTTCGAATCTTGTCTTAGCTCATCGGAGCTCTCCTCAGCGGTACGTTTTCCGCTGGCAGCTGTCCCATCCGACCAGATCTTTTCGTATTGTGCCACCTTCTGGCGCAAACGCTGCTGGTTTTGGTTGCTGCTGCTGCTGGAGGCATATTCCTCCTCCAGATTGCTGCTGGACGTTGTCAAGGATGTGGTTATGGTCTTCATGTACGTTCGCGTCACTGTGGATGTCTCCAGCTGTTCCTGCTCCTCAACATTCTCCCTTGAGGAGGATTTATGCTCATGCGCACGACGACGCCGAACAGCTGGGACTGGAGGCGCGTCAGCACCGCCGCCTCCACCGTCATCTATGGTTGGATCCTTGCCTGGATCTGTGCTATCAGCCATGATAGCATTGATTTCGTTAAATTCCCTTTGTTATGGCAAATTCTCATTTGGACAAGCCCTTTTTGCTTTCGTTTCCTTTTGTTGCCTGTTGTTTCTGCCTGGTTCTGGGTTCTGGCTTGCGTTCAAAATGCCAAAATTGATTTTTCTCACGCAACACGCACACTCATTTCGGGCATGGATTTTCACAGGATAATTTTTCCCTTTTTAACCAACCCCCGGCGGTTGGCCTTCAGTTTTCCCTCTCCTCCTCCTAGCACGCAATTCAACTTTAATTTGTTTAAAAGCAAATAATAAGCCACTTCTTTTATTTTTAATCACGTCAAACTGTAACCTTATAGGCCGTAAAGCATCACACAATTCACACACAGAGACGGACGCTGCCTTTTGCGTTTGTTTTTTGTAAGAACAAATTCTCACAAAAGATTCAAATTAGTTTTTTCTTTTTCAGCAAATTCACGATTCCACTTCACTCTTCTGATTTATAGTACATACTCCGCGAATATATGCACTCTTTTATGTATGGCTCACATTATTTTATGGGCCCCACGCTTGCTTTTTCACTTCCAAAGCCCCAATCCAATCCGTTGGGGTAGAAAGCCGGTTCGATACTGACTGAATCGTCGTATCCGTTCAACATGCTACGCCTTGTCCGGGGAGTATACAGGCAGGCAGGCAGCAGCAGCCCAGTGGCATATAGTAATCGTAGTAAAGCTCATGTTTCAACCAGTCTCTCTCTCTGCCTCTCTCTCTGTGCCAGTGTGTTGGTATTTGGTGAGAGACATTGAGAGCCACTGGCTTGAAAGAGCCAAGTGAGCGAATGGAAATAGAGCGCTCTTTTTTGTCTTATTTACGCATTTTGATGGATGTTGTTTTTGTTGTTTACCCCACACTCCCCAGTCCATGTACAGCCGCACGTATACACGAGCTCTCTCTCCCTCTCCAAAAAAAAAAATTAACACAGGCCGGTCGTGTTATTATTTTGAGGTCAGGGGCGCAGTAGCCGGCTTTTGAGAAGGGAAGATAATAGACTAAGACTGCACTTTAATAATCTTCATATTGAATATTATCTGTTGCACTATGGAAGATTTCTTGAAGAGATTTAATCCTGAAGAGAATATCTCTACCAATTTATGTATAATGCGTTGTAGAATACATTTCATACTGAAATTAAGAGTATAGTTCTATCATTTACAGACTTTTTTCATTTGAAATAATAGAATAGAATAGAATAGAATAGAATAATAAAATTAATCATTGATAATTTCTGACCCGTGCTGCCAGATTATTACTGCGAAAATTTTTTATGATAATGGAACAATAAAACATTTTTTTTTCAAAAAGCGAATTAGTTAAAGTTTCTTATATCTTGCTTTTATTTTAAATACCACCCCCTAAGATAAACAGTTATTTTTTCGCTCATCAATGAGCGACCGTCAAAGTTTAAATTAAATTTAAAAAAAGCTCTTTTTATAGAGTGTCAGTACATTGATAAGCCAAGCCAAGCCAAAGCTTAACCATTGTACTCTCTCTCGCGATTTTGCTCTCTGCCGACATACTCCCTCGGCATGTCTCTCTCTGTAATAGACTTACGCTCTTGCTCTTCTGCATGAATGGGTAGCATTTTCCAGTTCTTACTGCCTTGCCTTTTGGTCTGTTATTGTAATTCCCTTACACCTTTTCTGCATGACATCATGAAGCGTGAGAAAATAGCAATTACCTGCTTGTTAAAGGGGTTGTTTTCCCACCTATGTGCATTTTTCCTACCTATTATTATCCCCCGAGTGCTCGTTAAACGTTTACAAACGTTGCCAATGTAATATGCATGCTCAGAAACACGTCGTCTCCTCCGCGTATCGAAATGTAGGTCAGTCAGCGCATGGCAAAGCTCAACTTACACCAGCAAACAATTAATGAAAGTCATTCATAAAAATAGAAGCTGGGAAACCAAAAAAAAAATACATACATATGTGTTTTTTTTTGTTTGCTTGTAGCTTACATAACACCGCTGCTGGGATCTGGCTTTTGTTTATTATTTACAAAAGCATAAAGCATAAAATAAAGGAACCGAAGTTTTACATACCCTTGCAGTTCCATTGTTTTTCTTACAAGTTTTTTTTACATTAACATCATGTCAGTTCCTACTTCAGCAGCCAAAAAAAAGCTATTTTGCCGATATTATCGAGATCGAGGGACTAATTTGAGTGTACATATTCCTTTAATCTTCTCTACCCAATCAAGAATAAGTCCACTCTATATGATATGTGCATTTTACATATGTATAATCATCAACATAGTAATACCCTCTGGAAGGGTAGTATGCCCAACCAAACCAAAACCAGTTTTCGTTGCTATTTTTAAAACCACACCAGACTCATGACGTCACGCTTTGGTGATTGCATTGCATTTGATATAGATATGTACAACGTACTACATACATACTATCTCGTACCTCGATGATGTTTGTTGTCAAGCAAGAAGTTGACCTTCAGATCTGGAGTTTCATCTAGTTGTTGCACTTCAAATGGTCTCTAGCAATTTGCAATTGCAACGCAATTTAATTTGTAATGCATAGACAAATTATAATTATGCATAAAACGCACAGAGGTCAACTAATTTAAATGATTTTGAAAGTAGTTTAAACATTAATAATAAGCGGCGTTACAGAAGGCACAACATTACAGTCTTTCCAAAGGCAGGCAGCACTGCTGTTCAAATTAGTAACAGTTTGGGTAAAAGAAAGAATTTTTCCTCTTCTTATTTGTACACTTACTATCAACTCAAATTTAGAAAGGGATATTCTGGATGATGTTGAGAACCACACCTATCCCAAGGTCCCTTATAAAATCTGAGATAACGAATATTCCAAGGAATAGAATCATCAAATAGTATAACAACATTATTTGATAAAGAGCAAGAGAGTAAGATGCGTTGATGTCCAGCGAAAATAATAGACCAAAAGGCAGGATGTAAGAACTTAATACAGTTTTTAAGATAATCTCAGTTAATGTACATAATGTTCGAGTAATTTTTTATGAAAAGTAATTTGGATGAAAAATTGTCTGACAATTAATTCGTATTAAGAATACATATATGTATGTTTGTACCTCTATATATGTACATATGCATATCAACAGTTGCTTATCAAGAGTGAATTCTACTTGGGCATATCTGTCCATAAATTTAGCAGAGCCCTTTCTCTGTCGACAATACAGAATTTAAGACAAAGGTGTTGGGATCAGATCACCTGGCAAATCCTTTTCTTAAAATCGTACTTGTTACAAATTGTAGATTAAAATGTTTCAACAAAGCTCAGACGAATGTGATATTACTTATTTGTGATAGAAGATATCTGGCTATAGAAAGCAGCTGTCCTAGTACTTGCATTCGCCATTAGAAAAATCATTGTGAACATTGGCAAAATATATCTCTTTTTACTGATCATACACTTTCCATAAAAATATAGCTCTTTTGCTGAATAATTCTGTTGTTAATACGTACTAGTACTACATATGACGTAAAACTACAAAACCACACACTCAACCACCACTTGAAATAGCATGTAAAATTAAAATATGTAAAGAACAACAATTAGCTGAAAAGTAAACAATAGTGGGACCACAACAGCTGGTCCCCCAAAAACAGCAGCCAGAGCAACAGCCCCAGCAAGTGGCGCCTTCGTGAGAGGATTCACATGTTCAATGGTATTTTATAGCATCATTTTATTTACGATCTGCTGCTGCTGCATGTGTGTGCGAGCCACTGAGCGGGTTGTAAAATGCTCTTGTTAAGTGGCAGACACTTGAAAAGGCCAAAGGGGTTGCGGTGCTCGTAAGTAATTTTCTGGTAACTTAGATAAGAACAGAACACAAGTTATAATTAGAATTACAATGAAAAAAAAAAATATTTAAAAGCGATGATTCAGATCTATTTTGTAAACTACAAAAAAGGCAACTTTTTGTATGATTATAATCTCATTCGGTTTTGGTCAGATCTTTCAAGGATCGAGATTTTTATGTTGGTATACCCCTTAAGTAAATTCGTCGAATAATATTGATTCGTTGTAAAAATGTCCCATAGGAGACGGACTTTTTTTGAATGAATTGCAAATCCCGAGTAATTTTGGTATTATTTTATGCCAGATTTCAGTTTAATTACACTCATTTGGGAATTTCGATTATGTACTAGTGGAACTTTTTAGTAGAAAATATTTTCGATTTTTCAGCTAGAGCAAATGGTAACCTTGAGTACATATACACATATGTACATAAAAAAGCATATAATATACATATACTCTTTCGATCCAATATCATACTATATGTTATGTGTATACATTTAACTAATTATAGAACATCTACATGTATTTATATCCATCTCCAGCACTCAAATACATTGACTTTGTGCAAACATTTTTTCGCATAAACAAAGATTTCCGCTCTCAAACGCGCACTTTCGACACAATATTTCCTTTGTCCCGAGATAGATTTGATGTTATTCCTATTTATTTCACACCTAACCATAAAGTTTCTTGGTTTAATGGCAAAGGCAAATGAATCTCGTTTTGGGGTTCTTCAAATATTGACTTCCAAGGCACCGGGGCGGTTCTCTAAACAGACATTCATCTAATTCTAATACAATAATAGTTGCAAAACACATGCATACATATATCGCCCAATGAATCAACCTCAAGAGTCAATTAAATAGAAATGAATGCCTTTTAAAAGTGGCCAACAGAAATTATTTGCTCAAAAATTAAGCTTTGTAAACGATTGAAAACTATTAGCCTTAAATATTTATACACTCAAGCGAACGAAAAAGATGAAAAGCAATTAAAAACCAAAAACTCTGGGCAAACTGTCAACAATTTTTTGATTTGTTTGAATTGCGGCATTTGCATATGTCTAGATATCATCATCATCATCTGTGTGCCATGCCCCATCCATATCCATGATATTTCTACGTGCGAAAAATGTTAAAATTAGTTTCGAGAATTCCCTATTTATAGGAATCTATAATATACCTGAATATATATATGGAATATCTACACATCTCATATGTTTCCCATTTGCTGCAAGCGCGTGGGTTTTGTTCATCAGAACGTTTATTGTAAGACTTGTATAAATACAAACTCGTACACATGTATGTATATATTTGCAACAAAATTGAATAAATTATCAAACATTTTTATCAAATATAAGATTTGCGGAATTTCAGATGGTCTTAAAATGAATTTTCTTGGCAGAATATCTACTTTATTAGGAAAATCATTCAAAAAGCTTAAGTTTATTACAACTAAAACATGACAGGAGATTACAAATCTATCCACAGATTAAGATTCCGGAAAATATTGGCATTAGGCACAGGCAAATCACTCTAAGACGCTTTTTTTTAGTTTGAACTAAATTTAGTGGCAATTGATTGCAGAAGGTATACGATTAGGTTATTATAACTTATTCTTAGACTCTATAAACTCAAATGTCTCTTTTGTTTCATTTTACAAGTATAGTTTTTAACTCTTTAAAAATTCTAGAACCGGGTACTTTATTTTTACTCGGCATTTGCAGAGCCAATATTCACCAAAATTTATGAGTTGAAGAGACAATTTTACGACCTTTCGCAGTATTTTTAATTCGTGTCGGTAGAACGAATATACCTGAAGATAGCTCGACCCAAAGTTTAAGATTTATCCATGTGTAACAAGCTTTTGTTGGTATAGCCGTTGCACGTCTACGTCCAAAAAAAAACATTACCAAAGTAACACTATAGTTATCATTTAAGTTCACTTAAACAGTCAATGAAATCAACTTAAAGCAACCTCCAAATGGTACAACGAATGTACTAGAAATCCTGACATCATTCATTTGGAAAATCTTTTCTACAGCCAATCAATCATTTTTATTGTCAGACAGGTATATTTTTATTTTTTAAATGGTAAACAAAATTTTGATTTATCTCCAAAAAAAAAAAACAAAAATTTTACCTTGGTTTTCTTTATTTTTCAAAAATAATACGTATAATTTGAAATACGTTCCTTAATTCCTGAATTTGTAGATGTAAAAACCCCAAAAAATAAACTCGAAAAGAACTCTATTTTTAATCACTTTTTTCCTGTGACAAGGCAAGTTCGAGCAGACCAATCCCAAAAAACAAAAGAAAACAGTGAAAATAAAATAATTAAATGTAAAACTGCAGCTAAATTTGAAAATAAACCAGAAAGCAGGGCGAGAAAATTATACCAAAATAGCAGCATAGCCAGAGTCAGCCAGCGAGCCAGCCAGAGAGTCGACCAAGGCGTCCCTTGAGATATTTCATACCAAACAAGTATCTAAAAATAAGTTAGCCCAAAAGTGAATCCGAGAAACGAGATGCAGCAGCAGCAACAAGAAAAGTTGGGTCTGTGGGGGAAAACTTTCGAGGCAAGACAATGGGATAGAGAAACAGGGCAAATGCAATTTATAAATAACAAAACGAAACCATTTCCACTGTGACATCAGCACCGGACCAGACCCCAAACCAGAACGGAACAGTACAGAGTACAGATATCATCACCATCATAAAATGGAACATGAAAAGGCAATCACACTCACTGCCTTGTGCTTTTGTCTATAAACAACTTTTCTGAATAATCCCTCACCAATACGCGCTGCGTTTCAATATAAAAAATGATCTCATTCTGTGAATAAAGTACATCCAACAAAAGGCTTTGGGGCTGATGAAAACCTTGTCTATCAGCTTCACAACAAAAGTGTGGATCACACAGTGCTTAATTAATTAGAATAGGCTTGTGCCAGCAATTGCAGCTGAAAAGGAAATTCGATTTCTATAACTAACTACAAAACGATTTTCGTTGATACATGAAACGGACTATACATATGTATCTAGGTTGAATGATTAAACTTTAATTTTTTAATTCCTGTAACAAAAAGTGCGTATTTCAAACGACCTCGAAAAGTAAACGGTAGGTACTTATCATTTAATAAAATATACTGGTAAATCGTTGTTATACTCAAAGACTGTAAAAGGGAAAAAAACATTTCATTTTCGTTTGATACTTCGTCCTGCTAGGAACTGCTATCTAAAATTTTTGTTCGACTATGCTCAGTCCTGAGTGCTCAGAAAACAATTTTTCCTTAAGCATTAATTTCTCTAGTATAAGTATTAAATTCACTCTATTAATTTTGTAAACTTATTAAAGTAGAAACTAAACAAAAAAATAATTTCTTTAATAAAAATTTATATCTTAAAGTTCGCTGAAAACCCTACAAGATCTATAAAAAAATATATTTCAAAAACCCAAAAAAAAAATTCAACTAAAATATAAAAAAAGGATTATAATTGAATAAACAAATATTATCTTGGTCGACCTTCGTAGCTAGAAAATATTGAATAACAAAGATTATCTCATTCCAAGCACTTGCCAATTGTTGGAGAGCACAAAATAAATATGTACGAGTATTCACACATATAGAAAAATATAGTATGTATAAACTATAACAATTCATCGATTCATTTGGCATTCGATGTGGTGTGGCCCGTATTGGCGATTGCAATTTGCACGATTGCCAAAAAAAACCAAAATTTATATTCAGTTTCCATTTTGGCCACAACATTATGTCATTATCTTACGGGCAGAATGCGGTGACCACACGAAAATAGCCAATATATACTCGTACGAGGAGAGCCTCTACCAAGCAGCAAGTGAAAGGTGAGAGAGGGCCCAAATATCTAGGCCATAGTCTACTTTCGAGCGATGATGTCAGGTTGGATGTGTGGATGGTTGAATGGTTCTCAAGATAATGATGATGCTGGCTGGCTACGGGGGGGGGACGTGTCTGGGTCAAGTTCGGTTGACATTTACATTCAGTTTTCCCCCTCCTACAAAGTTCAATGCTTTGCCAAGAGAAAAATCAAATATTTTACACGATTTTTGTCTGCTAAATGCCGTCACCCGATTGCCAGAAAGCTGTCCCAAAAAAAACAATTCTAGAATGACTCATCTGCTACGGAAAAAGAAAGCCACTGGGAGAAATTACGAGAGGAAAACTTACCTTGCAGCTGCAATATCGTCATCTGATATTCGGCTAGCTTCTCGTCGATATAATCCTGCGATTGATTCGCTATTATCTCGGCTGTCGATGGACCAAACTCCTCTTCGTCATCATAAATCACATAGGATTTAGGTTGCGGAGGCTCCAGCGGCACGCCAATAAAATCGATCTGATCCTGAGAGCCAGTCCGTGTCCGTGTTGTCTCGGTTGTGGTGGTATCACTGGCGGTCCCAGTCCCTGCTGATGGAGTTGCTGCAGATATTGGGGTGGGGGTGCCTGCTGTTGGTAGTGCGATTGATGGGATTGATGGGACAGCGGTGTCTGTCGATTGCTGTATGTAAAGTCCGAGCTCGGCGTCTGGCACACAATCGGCGATGGTGTGGGCGACAGCTGGAACGAGCTGGTCGGATGCTGCTGCGATCCATATGAGTTCTGGTGCTGCAGCGGTGCCGGTCGAAAGGGACGTGGTGCTGGCGATGCACCACCCGATCCACCGTAGTAGGCACTCGGCGGTGGCTGATAGGGGGCCGGTGATTGGTTATTTCCCGGCCACTGGGGCCTCGGATGGGGCATATTGGTGCTGCCACGCTGTCCGCGCACCTGATTCAGCGGCGCCGGTGACATGGCATGGCCAAAGGGTTTCGGCCCGGCTATAATCGGCGGTGGACTCGGCGCCGTTGTCCACGGCGAGGGCGGACGATACAGAAAAGATGAGGGCGATGGTGAGGCTGGATTGTGAGCACGTGGATTCCAGCCACGTGGCCCATTGCCATACGGCGGCGGTTGCTGCCCGGACATCTCTACACCGCAAACGTTTTCAGACGATTCTGGATTTTATGGTTTCCTGATTTATGCTATTTTATTTAGATATATTTTTTGGTTTGGGCTTATTATTTCACAAAGACTTTTGGCACAAGGTTGGGTTTTGGTTTTAATTTAACATATTACACTGCGGAAAAAATTAATTTAAAACTGATTAAAACATTTGATTTAAACGGTTGTTGGGATTTGGGTTTTAGATTTTAAAGTTGTTTTTATGCATTTTCCATAGATTTATAAGTTTATTTTTTAATAAAACGTATTGAAAATATCGGTTTGAAAGGTTTGGGGATTTTTAAATTCATATTTTAGGCGTTTTTTATTTATTTCTTATAGACCCTCGTAAATATATGGATTTATGAATTTATAAAATTCTTATACATTTTCTGTATAAACTGTGCAAAACCATAAATCATATTTAATTTCGTATTCGAAATTAATTTTATACTGTTTGATGATTGTGATGAAATAAAGACAAACAACAATATCAGAGTTTAGGAAAAATTTTATGAAAATTAAAAAAAAAAAGCTTCGTTCAAAAACCATTAATCATGGTTTTAATTTACTTGGGAACTTTACATCTAATAATATGAAGGAAAAATTGGTTAAATACGGATTAAGATGTTCTTAAAGCGTAATTTCTGTAAGCTACATACATACTACCCAAGTTTCTTGTAAAATTCTCATCTAAATATATGCAAAAACAAAAATCATTTATCATCATTTGTTCATTAGCTAAACAATCACCTGAGTGTCCAACCCAATTATGTCAAGTGGGACAAAATACATACATATACGTTAAAATAAGAAAGAAAAACATAAATAAATCATGACCTATTCTTCAAAATTGGGTTTTGGGACTTATTTCACCAGACATACGCATACATATATCCACAAAACATACACGTAAACTATTTATGTACATATATTCCTACAGTTTCCAACGGAAGTGGTCTCAATATTTATACAATCTTTAAAAATGGCACTGACGTTGGCGCTGCTTTCAAGTTTCCAAAGTGCCTTTCCTCTTGGCTCGAAGAACATTTATTCCGTATAGTTGTCACATATATTTGGGGAAAATATATTTTAGTGGCAGATAATTTACAATGCATGAAATTTAACATTGTGCCAGATATTGAAACAAAAAAATACATATCTATAGCTATAGCCATGGCAACGAATGAAAGAGAGAGCGTTTGGATTAGCTGCTGTCAAAATTGTTTGAAGGTCCCTCCAAAAGTCTGTCTATAAGGATGATATATGCTTGACACTGTGCGTGTGAACAATTTGTAGAGCTAATATCCATTAAGTTGAATTTTGGATATAATATATACAAATAATTGTAATTCAAGTGAAAGGAATTGCGGGAAAATGTTTGATTTAATGGGAAATGTCTTAAATACCATGAGAACTAAGCAGAATGAATGTTGTTTGACTCGTTATAGGATAATAAGAAAATATTAACTAGCTCAAACACATTTTAAGTTAGTATTACAATTATTTACATGTGTATAATAAGAGTATTTGTATTTTAATATTCTAAAACTACTGAGTGGAGGTTCCAAAGATATTACAATTTAAAAAGGATTTTTAACTGCAAGAATACAAATCTTAAAACTCCTAATTAAATATTATATTCAACATACAATTTCCTTTTAACTTATGGTCTATTACCACTGTAATAATTTCATCAAACAATATTTTCAAAATAATTTTGCACAGTTTTTACGGCCTATACATCTGTATAATTCCGTCATCTGCTTTCAATATGTATATCGTTTCCTTTATGGATTTTCCAGAAAGAAAAATTGCACAGTGTAGGCGGTGATCAGTCGGCGGGCGTACCACTACCAACACCACTTAAAAAGCACACGTCCCACATCGCACCAGCAAACCACGAAAAACCAAAAGGAAAACTCATGCAGACTTTTCACTTTTGCGGGGTGACGGCAGTGGCGGTTGCTCTACGAATTATTCAAAAATAGAAATGAACTCAGTTCGTTAAACTTTTGCTCGAAAAATCATGCCGAGAAGAAGATGCTGCCATGCCACCACCACCACCACCGTTCCCGAGAGTGCAGCACGCGGTGCCTTCCACTTTATTCTTGCGGGGCCCCCACTTTTAACTTTTAATTGCCATCCGCTTTATGGGGTTTCTTTTTCCTTTAATATCGCATCGTAATGGTTATAAGTAGTTTGCCCATTATATGGTGGGCACGGCACACATTCTTAAAACATTTTTCCCGAACCGGAAAAACGTGGAGGAACACGTTTTTCCTTTCACTTCAAACACACGAGCACTCTCGATTATGTAATCCATGGAAAATTAAGCATAAAACTTATGTTTCTCTAGAATTTCTACGGATTTCGAATGCCTCGATTGATCCACAAAGCACTTTGATGTAACACACCATAAATTTGATTCGATTTCGCGAACAACTCCAATTTAAATTTCTATATATTGCGCATATGTGGGTATATATAGTCGTGTATATATGTATGTATGCTTTAATGGCAGGTAAGAACTATGAAGAACTTTTTTGATATTGTAGAGGAAAAACCGAGAACAACACTCGACGAGCACGAAACACTAACTGAAACGATTCCCCCAGTGCCAGGAGACAGGTCCGCCGTGGCTGATCTTGGGGAAAATTTTCGAAAAATTGGGGGAAAACAGCAGACACAGAGATCGGCAGCTGCGCACGACGCGGTGTCTGCCTATGCTCTCTTCTCCCTCTCGGAGAATTTTCAGCCGGCAAATCTGTTGTGGGGCGAAATTCGTCGCTTTCATCCATTTCTGTTTATATTCCTACATTCTAAACAGAGCGTCTGTGCGAGGCAAGTGTGCGATAAAGTAGCGGCACAAGGAAAAACGACAGAAATGGCAGCACGTACACACATACACATATTCCATACAGGCGCCGTAGTAAATCAGCCAAAAGAACGCTAAAATATTAATTTAAACAGCAACAGCATGCATTCTTATGTTTTAACAAATACTTACAGGTGTTTAACTTCCTTTTGGTGCCATTTTTATTAGCTTTACATCGTGAAAATCCAGAATAAAGACGCCATTCAAAATAAATGCGCGAAAGCATTAACACCAGTGTGACCGCGGATATACCGTCTGACACTAAAAATATACCCAAATATGTCTTCTCTTTTTCGTAATATACCGTAAATATACCGAGGAAAAGTATAATTTTCATCAATTCTGATATTCAATTTAACATTACTAGCTAGTTAGGACTTTAACAACTAAAAATATCATTTTATCAGAAAGAAGAATCAATTTTCTATAATCTGGCTTTTTTTAAGGACTCCCATTTATTGGATTACTTATAAAATAAGGTTTAAACAAATAAGGTTAACAAAAATATTCTACACGGTAACTACACGCTGTACATATTCTACAAATCAGTAACATATTTATTCGACTCAAATTTCCACTCAACTGTCTAACTAAGATTACAACAGATAACAGATGAACTTAATGACAACTGAATTGGAAAATGTTAAGCTGTTTAATGAATGATTTGACACAGCGTGCGTGCAGAGATTTTATTTCAAAATACCAATCACACTCTAAAATAAAATAGCATAGACAGATTCAAATTGTAACGCAATTTTGCATGTTAACCTAACAGCGGACGATTTTTGGTATTTTTCCGCTTGACACACACCCACACATACAAATTATACATACACATGCATATTTAGAAGGGGACGCGCGCCAGAATTTTGTAAAGAATCAAAAGAAGCCATTTCGGCGGCGGCATATTTATTCTAGATACCGAACCGAACAAATCTGTACCAAGCGAAATGTAATCCTCCGAGACTTTCAGCGTTCAGGTTCGTTGCGAAGATCTTGGCTAATTCATGGCAGCAAGAGGCAAGTAAAATACAAGGAAATTGAATTACACTTTTGGCTAGAGTAAGTCCTTCAGATTCTTCTGATTTAATTCAACAGAAATGTAGTCGAGAACTTCATATTCATACATTTCCTCTTGTATGTCAAGAATGCAGTTTTCTTGACTTGTGCGTACCGTGTAAGAAGTCCAAGGAGCCGGCTCTTCTTTAGCCAAAGTCTTTAGTCGTAAAAGTCTAATTGGGGCCACTCATTGAGAGTACCAGTCATAAATTATGGTAAAAACATAACATCAAGTATAACGTATTATCATTTGTTACTTATATGTAATTTCGTTTTGATTTAACCGTTGCAGATAGATATGTACATCGAAACTGTTAGGATGTGCTGTTAAGCGCAAAAGTGCGCACAGCCCAATCTGTTCTGTTACGAGCGCTGTTAAGCCAGCTGACTGTTTCTGTCAAAATAAATTTCTGAACAAACTTTTTGGAAATAAAATTATGGCCAGCAAGCAATTGGTAAACAATTTGTCCAAAGTTGGACGCCGTGGCCAGAACTGGCTGGCTCCATTGACCGCCGTACGCAATGGCAGCTCCCGCAGCGACATCGACAAAGTCACACACACGGGACAAGTAAGTACAAATGCTGTTGCCGTCCTGCGATTACGCAAACATTTTTGATTGTGTATCCAAAAATGATGCTTCATTAGGTCTTTGACAAGGATGACTACCGCAATGTGCGATTCGTGAACGCCAAACGTTATGTGAACGAGAACTGGGGCATCAAAATGATTGACGAGGTGCGACCAATCGAAAGCACCGAACGTGTGGTCTTCTGTGACGGCGGCGATGGTCCGCTCGGACATCCCAAAGTGTACATCAATCTGGTAAGATATTGTAATATATATCTCTTTGCCTGGATATCTAAAGTCAATCTTTGTCATAGGACGCACCCGGCAGCCACACTTGCGGCTATTGCGGCCTGCGTTTCGTGAAGAAGGATGACCATCATCACTAGGAATAACCATGTTGAGAGGCCTGCCTATGCTATTGCTTTAGTTTAAATTGTAAACTGAATAAAATTACTCCATAAAATGGCTATAGCTGTACGACTGGAATGGGAAAATGTACGTCTGCATAGGAAAAACAAGAAAAGCAACGAAAGTTCATCATTACGAGTATTATTCCTGAAGGATTTATTCTTGTTTGGACCCTAATTTTCAACGAATAGGGTGTCGGTTGTGCCAAGAATATCCCAAACTCACCTTAAACAGTCGTTCAATTAATATGCTCTGGGCAACATTTTAATCGGATGAAAGTTACACCCAAAATGTGTCATGGCAATAAGTAGCTTCCGCTCGGGGAAGAATTGTTGAAGACCTGTTGTCCATTATTATATTGCCAAGCCATAGGATTCTCAAGATTAGAGTTATTCAGAACATCCCTTCACAATAAATTCATAGCTATATTGCACAACACTTTATTTGCATGTTTCTTGAATGATTTCTAATGCGTGTAAGCATTATAGCTATTTGAAAGATTAGATTTAGTTAAAATCAACTTAAACGTTAAATATTAGTACAACTAATAAACAAAATATGGTATAATCCAAAGTTGAATTGAATAAACTGTGAGCTGAACTCTCCACTGACGCTGCAGTTTTGTAGATCAAATCACCAAGTGTGGTTTGGTGGTGTGGTATGTGGTTGTGGTTGGGGTATGTTTCTATATGTAAATTTGTATGTATAACTATTAAATTAATTAAATTATATCAATAATAGACTGTGTAAATCGTTTGCCTGGTAAGCGGTAATACATATACGTATATGTATTGTATAGTGGTTCTTTCAGAATGCTTTTTTTTTTTTTTGTATACTACGGGCACTTTAGATGCTGCTGCTGGACACTCGCTCCATTGAGACACAGATAGTACCACGAAGAACTAATACAATAAAAAAAATTGCCACAATTTGGCGATGATTTGGCCAGCTTTTACTTTGTTTGAATTTTTTTGTTTGGGCGACTGAAACCCGCTGACCGAACCGGGCTTCAGTCTGGCTGGACTTTGTCAAACTGAAAATCACGTTCACACCGTTCAACACGAGCCTGCACCTGCACCGGCTCCTGCTCCTCTGCCATCTAGAGCTGCTGCTGCTGCTGCTGCTGCTGCACTTCACTCCACTCCTATCCATTCTTCTCTCAGCTGCGTGTGGGGGTGCAAACGCCCCTTGCCTGCCGCCTGCAGAATGCCCAGGGAACAGAACACTGGGAACTGAAAGTGTGTGGAGCGCATTTTGGGGTGCGCATGCTCACAATATACAACGACGCTGTGCGGTCGCTGCTTAATAAAATCATGGTCAATAATCGTCGTCATCTGTTGTCTCAACTGAGTTTCATCTAAAACACCAAACACTAAGGAGAATGTAAACTAAAATATAGTAGGTTCTAATTTGGATGTTGTGTGGATGTGGGACTATGTTGCCGACGAATCGCTTTAGCTTATCTGCATACTGTTGTTGCTGTTGCTGTTGCTGCTGCTGACGCTCGCGTTGCAGCAGAGATCGCTTGTCTTGATTGGGGCAATAGCTGTTCACCACTGGTCACCAGAGGTTCCGTGGCATGGCGTAGCCTTCTTTTGTCACAAACAGGTTGCGATCGGCATACGCGACATGCTGCTCACCCAGAGAGCCCCTCTGAGGCTTGGCGACAGCCTTACCCAATGGCACACCACCCTCCTTGCCATCGTGGGTGACCACCGTCTCCGAGCGGCCATCTTTCATACGAGTCACCGTGGTGGTCTTGTGGCCAGTCGCATCCTGGGCCACCTTGGTGGTCTCATAGCTGCCATCCGGCTTGCGCACCGTCTGGGTCATCACGCTCTGGCTAAACATCTTCGGACCCTATCGGAAAATATATTTTAATTAATGATTCGAACCATTTGATTCCGTCGCTTGTGTGGCTCCCCACCTGATAGTTTCCATCGAATACCCCACCAAATGGCGTCATTCCACTGCGCGGCAACATGGGCGTCATCGGAGTCATGATTTCCGGCTTGATACCGATGTACGGACGTGTTGGACGAGCCTGTGGCACCTCTTCACCATCGGCTGAGATTGTGCCATGAATGCGACCCATGATGAGCTCCTCATCCGTCATCTTTGCCTTCCGCAGACTCTTCAGAAGGCGACTTTGATTGGAGGGCAAAATGTTGCCAACGGCTTCGTCGGCCGGCTCCTGTCCCTTTTTCGGATTCAAGCGCTGAATGAGCGACTGCATCTGATCGGCGTAAATCCTGAAACACGACAGATATACTTTCAACTGAATGAGGGGGAGCCTGCTACACTTACTCGTCATCCAAATCCGTGTCCAGAGATTGACCATGTTGCCGAGCAAACTTCTTGAGAATCGAGCTATCAAAACCGGGCTTCAAGACATCATCTGGGAAAATGGTAGCGTGTTAATTTCATGATAGAAGTACAAGTTACAACGGCTTGTTGCTCTTGCTTACAGAAATCCTCATTATCATCATGATCATCGTCATCGATCGATTCCAGTAGACGCTGCATCTGTCTCTCAAAGTGCTTCTGCATTTCCAGCGGACTGGTGAACACTTGGAATGCGAACTTGCGATCGTCGTCGAAGAGCTCATCGTCCGTTTCGGCCTCCTCGAACCACTGCGGCTTCCGGAACTCATCCTTGTTCGATGCGGATATATCGGCACCGCTGCAACAGGGAAGAGGAAGAGAAGACCAATACCGGATATACATTAGAATTTTTGTCACCCCTCGGAAACCGTTTTGCACCGCAGTACGCAGCCTCCGCAAATCATCCACACACACACACACCCCCACACATCTGTTTCTGTGCCAGTGTGTGTGTGTGTGTGTGGGTGGGTGTATATATCCTGGTAAAAATGTATCTATCATGGCAGGTGCCTGGTTTATCGATCCAATTGAAAATGCCGCAGTCGGCGTACGGTTTTTTCTTCACCTTATTTTTAAACATTTTGTTGTCGGCCGCCAAAGAGGCGGCTGGCTTGCATAATCTATTGCTATTAATCACATGTACTCACTCCTGCTTCTTTTCCTCCACCGATTTGAACATTTTCTTGAGTATATCCATTTCTAGTTGGCTCCTCGCTGGTAATTGATAGAACCAAAAGCGCAAGTCCTTGATAGAGTTCAAAGCAAACAGTTTAAAGAAAACTAAAAGAACCAAAACGACCCGAATGGAACAATTGCGGAAAATGTTGTTTAATTGTTTAATTAATTTTTAATGTTTATCTACGAATATTTTTTGCAAGAAATTTTAACACGACACCGAACAGCTGATCGGTAGAATTATTCTAGCAGTGGGACCGCGGCTTTATCTATAAAATATACCGCCTGTCCCTCAGAAATATACTGTAAAATATACAAAACAATTGATTAAATATACCTTTATATACCGATATACTGGGCGAACTTAACCCACTAAACCACCCTCTATTTGAACAGGTGAGAAAAACTCATTGGATTGTAATGCTTATAAAATAAAAACAAAGGTCAACAAAACTGTCCTTTGTTCACATGGTAACTACACACTTGCTACTTATTTCCTTTATTAACGGTTATTAGGTAACTTGAGTGCTAGCAACAGAATGCCGCTCAGCTTACCTCTAGAATAATTCTACCTGGATCGTTTCGTTTCATCTGGTACGGACTTTGGTACAAGTGGAAATGAATCTTATTGGGCGCGCTAATTTAAACTGCACTTTTTTCACCGCAACCACAACTCTGTTTTGCTTGAATTTTGATTTTCGTTTTTGTATTGTTTTGAGAGTGTTACGTGTTTATTGAAGGCATGACTCGGCACACTTGTTAATGTCGTTCATACACAATTTTATGTATGTTATTTTCCTATGTAGCCAGAGCTTTGAGTTAATACATATTGTTTTTGGTTTAACTATGCAATAAATATATCATACAGCATATAGTTGCAGTTGTAAAGCACTACGCTTAACTAATGTATGGCTTATGTGTAGCCACCACTCTGCGAGACGACTTTGTCAATATCTCATGTTAGAAAAATTATTATTTATTATTCGTGGGTCTTAGGACAAGTCTTTTGTAAGAACAGTTTGTTTGTTTTGTAAGATTATCAAAGTATATAGTTCAATTGATGTATACATATATCCAAATTAATGACAAATATTGCTTTCCGTATTGCTGCGATTATAACCATTAAATTAAAGAACTTTCCCAACCTCTGTTTCGATTTAATCAATCAGCCGGCAAATCAGATGACTAAATCACATGGATGATTGTTTATAGATCCATTTATGAGCCGATTAAAGAACTTATGGGGCATCAGACTAGCTCACCGATATCCAACTTGAAGTATCTGAAGCGTAAGAAGGCCATGATGCATTTTGGAATTGCCACAGACGAGTATTACCCCTAGTGGAATTCTCAAGTCTGGCTTGAGACGTATCCGCGCTGTCAGAGCTTAAAGGTTTCCGCATTTCGAGTTCTGGTTTTTTGGGCGACCATTTCCTGGTCTCTCATTCGGAGATCTTATCTGCTAGGTGCTTGCTTATCAGTGTTTTGTGGCCGGTCTTCTTCGCTGTTGGTTTTTTTTTGTTTTTTTTTTTGTTCGCGAATCGAGTGATAAGTGAGTGATAGTGACCGTGCGAATTGGCACACACGCACACACGAGTGCGAGTGTCTGTAAATTGTAGAAAACAAAAAAACTGGGAATGATCTGCGTTTATCACGTCCAAACAAATAGTTGAACTGTCTGTCTGGATGGGTCTCTGTGGGTGTCTGTGGTTTGATGAAATGTCGCCTCCGCTGCTGCTATCAGTGGCTAATCCACAATGGGTGGGGCCTTATCAGAGTGGTGGGTATATAACCATGACCGATAATAAAGAATGGGCGCCGTGACAGCCTCGCCTCGATAAACAAAAGGCTTTGTTATTTATAATTTTAATTATTAAAATGCGGAGCAGATATAGCATGTATATAGAGATGTGGGCTTGAAACTCGGTAACGGCACTTAGTACACGATAATTTAAATACACAATACACAGAACTAAAAATATGAATCTCAATGGGAGGGGGGAGGGAGGGAGGGATGATCGATGGCGCTGGCTTTGATTTGATTTGATTTGATTAAACAATAACAATAGTTTCCAAAATTAAACAATGGCTCTCACAAGGATCCCAACAACAACAACAGCATAACAAGGAGTCATAGGCGCTCGACTAGCTGATCGCCTCGTATTTGCAGATGACGGCAAACATCTCATCGCCACCCAGGTACTTGGCCAGCCACCGATTCTTGATCACGGCCAGCTTCAGGGTCTCGCAACTGAAGTGGGCATTGAGGTTCGTGTGCAGGGCCCGTCCCATGCCCTCGATCACGAGCAGATCAGTCTCATTGGCAGCTATGGCGTCGCACAGCTCCCGCGGAAGGGTTCGCATATCCAAGCAGGGTCCAGACTGTCCATTGGCATAGACAAGCAGGCGGGAGGAGGACCAGGCCGACGAGAGGACAGCACACTCGCAGGCACACTCATCGAGCAGCGCGCTCAGCTCCTGACTGGTCACATCGTTCAACGAGGGTTCACTGTTGGCGCACAGCAGCACCTTGGTTCCACGCTTCAGCAGCTCTCGGACGAAGGGCAGTATGCCGAGCACCACATCCACGCCGCTGTTGTCCACAAATACCACAGCACACTTGTGGGGCGGCTGGTCGCTACTGATCCGCAGGCGCTCCAGCCAATTGTCCAGGTTGTCCAGCAGCCAGGGCCGCTTCTCTATCCTGTCCAGCGCGGAGTGGAGACCAAAACTGCTGTCCTGCTCCAGTATGTTGGATATGGCCTGGGCGCCCCAGTCGAACATGTTGCCCGCGAGCACTCCCCGCACGAGCTCCGTCCATTTGTCGTCCTGATTCCCGATGGCATCAATCTCCTCCAGCCGCAGCTTGAGCCGCGCCTTCGCCGAGGCATTCTCCAGCTGCTTTTGACTACCCCACGGATCCGTGAAGCCAAAGCGCCTCAGCATCGTTTCGTTCAGTTTGAGCAGTTCGCTGGTGCCCAGGATCACGCGCCCACTATTGTTGGCTATATTGCTTTGATAGTCGTCCAATTGCTGGAGATAGGCCGTCTTGAACTGCTCCGCCCGCTCCTCGGCCGTCGCGTCCTCCACCTGCGATTTGGCCGCTTGCTTCGCAAATTTGATAACCATATCGCGAAAGCAGGGAAACCAGTAGGCGGCCGCCTTGGCGTCTGTATTTAAGTCCAGGGTATCCGGCTGATAGTTGGCCGCATTTGGCAGCAGGACGCAGCTGTGCATGGCTTCACTGGTCGACACTTTTCTGGGCAGCTGCTGGGCAAATGTTGGTGTTGTCAGGTGCGTTAGACGCCTGAAAATTAGCAAAATTTTGGCCGCAATTGTATTGTTTTTTTGTGACGTGCGCACTATTTATTAATGCGCAGACAGTGTGACCATACATTTGGCATTATTCTCTCGACTGAACGAGACCGCAGAGATAAAAGCAATAAGCACACAATTTGAAAATTTCACTTAATCTTGGAAAAATATATTCATTTTATATTCACCCTACTTCCGTCAACTAAAGTTTATGAACAATCACAAAGTAGGTAGGGAATTAAATTTAATTCGAATTCAAAAACGCGCTAGTGCCGCGTCGCCAGGGTGACCGCTTACGCTTTATAATCTAGTATATTTCATACATTTTTTGGTATATTTCCTAGTGTCAGACGGTATATTTAAATCGGCGGTCACACTGCTGCCTTCGGCTCTTTCCGGTTGGATTTTTGACAAATCAACAACACAACAGAAAAATGGTACGAAATAAATTTGAAGAAATACGCGTAATCCTGAGTGGAAATGCTAGAAATGGACCATATATGGCCACAACGTACAATTTATCGTCTGCTGACAGTGGGATTTAGTGGCTGAGAGTGTTGCAAGTGCATTTAATATGTGTAATCATTTAAACTAATTTTTATTATTTTCTGTATGTACATAGGCCAAGCGCACCAAGAAGGTTGGAATCGTAGGTAAATATGGTACCCGTTATGGTGCCTCCCTGCGTAAGATGGTCAAGAAGATGGAAATCACCCAGCACAGCAAATACACTTGCTCGTTCTGCGGAAAGGTAAGATCGACAGATAGCATTCCTCTGACATGAGAAATATACCTAATGTTCTGCTCCCCATCCCTCTGTAGGATTCCATGAAGCGCGCTGTTGTCGGCATCTGGTCCTGCAAACGCTGCAAGCGCACCGTTGCCGGTGGTGCCTGGGTGTACTCTACAACCGCTGCCGCGTCCGTGCGCTCCGCTGTCCGTCGTCTGCGTGAGACCAAGGAACAGTAAAAACATTGCTTTAATGCTCCCCGTTATGCTAGTTCCAGTAGTTAACCCTGGAAGGATAATACTGGTTGAAGCATCATCCTTTTAGGGCTAATAGACAACGCGATTTTCTTGTGGTTTGCGCCGCGCCGGTCAAGTGAAAAATAATAAAAAATTGTTTTTACTTTTATCAGTAAGAAAAGGAAGTGATGTTTTTTCTGTATGCTGGTGCTACCCGCTGGCTAGAGTGTTCTTCTGTATAGATTTTCAGTGTTCTAGAATTAGAATAGCAGCCTCACCACTGGAATAATTGATCCTACAAGTGGATTTCTACGTTCTATTACAGAGGGATTTTAAGTCATCTTGGATGCTATGCATGGAATCCATAATAATGCACTCTGGTCTACTATGCTACCGCACAAGGGTTCAAGAGTCTCAACAGCTAACGCTGCTCAGCCTGATCAGATCTGTTTAATTAATTGATATTTTCACTGATTTAAAACGGAAATAGTATTTAAATATACATTGCTGAATCACCTCTCACCACTATCACAAGAATTTTAAACTCACAACAAAGCTATTTGGGAGATTTTGACAAGGATGGGACCAATGATATTTCTTCAGACGCATCTGTAAGATGGAAGATGGGAAATCAAGATAAGGAAGACTAAAACATTACTCTGGGACAAAAAATGAATAGCTTGCAAAACTCATGATAGTGGAATAGATATCACGTTTCCAGACAATAAAACCATCCATGAACTCCAATGGAATTGACACTGAAAGCAAATGAAGTAATGTCTGCCATGGTCGCGATAGTAGAGTTTTAAAAGAATCTCTGAGGGGCTGGGTTCCTTTGGCAAGCGGTTTTGACATATCATCTTTATTCAGTTGCAAAATCCGTTGCAAGTTCCAGGATAAAATTCAAATAAAATCAAAAGCATTCATTCAACAGCTTGTAGAGCTGCCCCAATATAAAACTCATATTTATGGATTTTCTCTTAAATTTGTCATTTTTTTTATTTATAAAATTTAAAAAGTCTCTAAACAAACAAAATTGTTATAATTCAAGGATATTTCATAAAAATATTGGCTTACATTCAGTTTTATGATTATCATTCCTATTATGTTTATCGATTTGATTTGTGTGTGTGTGTTTGAGAAATGTTTCAATTGAGAAATGATTTAGCTAAACATATAATTTAACAATTAAAACATATAGGCATCTGTATTGTTGCTTGGTTTTCCATATATGATGGTTAGATATATGGATGCCAATAGGATGGTTTGGATGTTGAGGAGGGGGTGTTTTCGATCTGCCTGTGTTTGTTTCATGATTGGATTTGTTTTCCCGTTTCATTTTGTTTGCTATGTTAAATGTTAAAAATTAAAATTGCACCGTCACCAGTTAAAAATAGTTACTATTTTCATTCATCATATGTATATATCGTTTCCTATAGCTATGGTCTCTGTTGATTTTTTTCAAAAAATAAATTTAGCTAAAAAGTTTTACTTGGCCTGTGTCTGTGTCTCATATCTCAAGGGTTCTGTGGAATTTCCGTAACTTTTACTCAGGTTATACAAACATCTTTTTGATTGGAATACTTTTTGAAATATTTACACAATAGCTGACACATTATTTTCGTTGAGCAATTCTTGTTTTTTTTTTTGTTTTTGTTTAGTTGAGAGCTATTGTTGAGGATGTTGCCAAACTTTGGACTAAATCTAAATTTAATTTAGAACCTAGAGTCGAACTTAAAACTAAATGCAATTTATAGTACAGTTTTTGCTTGCTTCGCATATACGCATATATTGTACATACTATATAAATATTTTATTTAAATGTATATTTTTAATAGCTACTTTAATTTTATGTACAATTATTCATTTTATTGTGGTTTATTTCTCATCTGAATTATGCCATTTATAAATATTTTTTTTACACTGTATTTATGATATGCGTGCAATTTTTAAGAGATTTCCTTTTTTTTTGTTTGCCATTTCTTGTATAATGATTATGGGGGAGGGTTAGAAGCATTTTTCTTGTATGATATGAAGAGCGCATCGTTTTGGTACAAAGCAACAGAGTTTTCTTTTGATATACATATAATAAAGCCTAAAAGTAGGATACGGACAGGGGCCAGGGACAGAGGGTGCCACAAGGAAGGAACAACGCATGAAAACAATTGTGCCCCTCTCTTATAAATTCTATCTAGGAATGTTTGGGAGGGAAAGTGCTGTTGTTTCATCGTATTTAGTAATTAATATATATTATGTTTCTGCTATGACACACTTGTGGCAATTGCTCTTGGCCTTGCATTTGCTTTAAATCATATTCTGTGAAGCACAAAATGTCATTTAAATGCCAATTTATTGGTACTTGGTCGAAGCTAATATAAATTTACAATTACAATATATATATATATATATATATAGGTCTATATAAATCATAGAACTGCCTGGCTACACATAGACACATACATATATCTAAATTGTCGTACTGTCTGTTACACACACACTCCATACACTTGGGAAGACATCCTGCCGCAAAGGACAAACACATTCACTCACACATAGAGAGACAGAGAGAGAAAAACTTAGATCAGAAAAAAACTTAAAGCTACATAAATGTCAATAAACAAAGCCAGCAAAAATCAACACAAATTGGAAGTTCTCAGTATAGTTAGTAGGATCCGTTTAGTTTAGTTTTGTTGTTGTTGTTGTTATTTTTAGTTATCGGTTTGATGTTGCGAGGGTTGCTAGTGTGCCTGCCACTTGAACTTGGACTCCATCAGCCACTGCTGACCCTTGCCATAGCTGCAGGGCCGCAACAGCGGCGTATTGGCATCATCTCTGGTGGCACGCTGTAAGCACTGGCCCGTATTCGTGTGACGTATCCATTTCTCCTGTTATGAAAAATACATATTTAGTATCACAGACAGACACATAATTATATTTATATAAAGACTAACCTCCGCATCGTAGACCCACTCCTGATTGCCACCCATATTGTGGCAGCGCACCATATTGACCGGACCATTGGAGCTGGCCGCATCGAGGCACAGATCATCGGACATGATCTGCTGTCGCTTGGTGTAGGCAAACACCTGATTGCCCCCCAAGCCATGGCAATAGCTAATGCCAACTTTTTCATTGTACTTCCTGCCCATGGTATCCAGGCAGGTTTCCGTCTCCGCATTGCGTATCTATAGGCAAACGATTGGATCAAGAGTTGAATGGAAATATCACAAAATAGATAATATACCTCTCCCAGATAGTAATAATCTAGAGGCATTAAACTCTCTGGATATACATTCTCCAAATACCAGCGGAAACTTTTGCATTTGAGACGATCACGCAGATCCTTACGATCGCTAACATCTCCCGCCGAAGCTTTGCGAGCACCTAAAGTTACACCAAAACAGAAGGAGAGAGAGAGAGAGATTTAAGAGATCAGTAAGGACACTCGAGTACTTGTCGCAACAACATCGATGTAAGTGTGGGTGTATTTTGTGTTAGGATCTACATATTTGTATGCGTGTTTAACATTTTAAAAGCATTTGGGAATAAAAAGTACAAAAGATCTTGTGCGGGTGCTGGAGGAAAAATAAATTAGTACATTAAAAGCATGCAAATGATACTATATACATATATGGTCCAACAACTACAAGGCTACATAAAATGTTTAGAAATCCAGATATGTACATACAATATTATATGGTGTTTTTGTATGTAAATACCCCACGAAAAAACCAACACAAATATTATTATGGTACACAAAAATTGCTGGTTGAAGCATTAAAACCCATAACCATAATTCGAATTTTCGCAAGCTTTCAAATAATTACTTTTTAGTGTTATTGAGTAACCCTAACAAAAAAAAACAAGGACAAATAAAAAAAAGTTCGGGGATATTGATTCACAAATTTGGAATAAACCATAATCCAAATACCGTTCCGTGAATACCCCTGATGTGGAAAATGCATAGACAAAACTTGTGGGGGGGGGAAGGACAAAGATAACAGGCGTTGGGTGTGCGGTGGGGGGAGAGTGGGGCGTGGAGTGAAGCAGAAATTAGATCAAAAAGGGCAACTCAAGAATTCTAGTAGGACAGACACACACACAAAACGAAATATTTGCAAATCGAAAATATATTTAAAAGGTGAATCGATAAAACTATTTCGTGGTTGATTGATTGGTGGATTGATTGCTTTTGGTGGATTGGATTTTATTGTCACGGCCA